GTGGATACTACTAGGGGTTAGAGCTTGTGGGCTTACTCTTTGTGGTAGGGGTTAGAGCTTGTGAGATTAGTCATTGTGGATACTACTAGGGGTTAGAGCTTGTGGGCTTACTCTTTGTGGAAGGGGTTAGAGCTTGTGGGGTTACTCTTTGTGGTAGGGGTTAGAGCTTGTGGGCTTACTCAATGTGGATACTAGGGGTTAGAGCTTGTGGGCTTAGTCATTGTGGTAGGGGTTAGAGCTTGTGGGATTAGTCATTGTGGTAGGGGTTAGAGCTTGTGGGGTTACTCATTGTGGATACTACTAGGGGTTAGCTTGTGGGCTTACTCATTGTGGATACTAGGGGTTAGAGCTTGTGGGCTTAGTCATTGTGGATACTACTAGGGGTTAGAGCTTGTGGGCTTAGTCATTGTGGTAGGGGTTAGAGCTTGTGGGGTTACTCAATGTGGATACTAGGGGTTAGAGCTTGTGGGGTTACTCATTGTGGATACTACTAGGGGTTAGAGCGTGTGGGCTTACTCCTTGTGCTGCAGAGTTTGGCGGTGTAAACGACACAATTCCGGCGTAGTTGCAAGTTATACTGTCCAGGTTTTTTTGGAGGGGCGGTGGGTTGGGGGGGGGGGGGGGTTAGGTCACGTGAATATATAAATTCTGTGTCGTTAAACCTGCCACCACCCGACACAGCCAATTGGTAAGGGGTCTGATGCGTAAAGGAAACGCGCCAAGTCGTTACTTGTGCAGCATCAACCGGCTGTGTGTTGGAGAGAAAATAGTCAATGTTGATTAGAACCTTTTATGGCGGCAGGAATCCAAAATCTCTGGTTCGTTTGGTAAAGTCACGGAGGTAGAAAAATAAGAATAGTAGTAGTAGTAGTAGGCCACGATTTGCTCTCCAACACACAACCGGTTAGTGCTGTGCTATACACTACACTTTATATTACACTATACAGTACACTACACACTACACTATATATTACACTATACACTACACTATACACTACACTACTATACACTACACTACACACTACACTACACTATATACTATACTATACACTACACACTACACTATATACTACACTATACACTACACTATACACTACACACTATACACTACACTATACACTACTATACACTACACTATACACTACACTATACACTACACTACACACTACACTATACACTACACTATACACTACACTACACAATACACTACACTATACACTACACTATACACTACACTATACACTACACTATACACTACACACTATATACTACACTATACACTACACACTACACTATACACTACACAATACACTACACTATATATTACACTATACACTACACACTACACTACACAATACACTACACTATACACTACACTATACACTACACACTATATATTACACTACACTATACACTACACTACACTATATACTATACTATACACTACACACTACACTATATACTACACTATACACTACACTATACACTACACACTATACACTACACTATACACTACTATACACTACACTATACACTACACTATACACTACACTACACACTACACTATACACTACACTATACACTACACTACACAATACACTACACTATACACTACACTATACACTACACTATACACTACACTATACACTACACTATACACTACACACTATATACTACACTACACACTACACTATACACTACACACTATACACTACACACTATATATTACACTACACTATACACTACACTATACACTACACTATACACTACACTATACACTACACACTACACTATACACTATACACTACACACTACACTATACACTACTACACTATACACTACTACACTACACACTACACTATACACTACACTATACACTACACTATACACTACTACACTACACTATACACTACACACTATATATTACACTACACTATACACTACACTACACACTATACATTACACTACACTATACACTACTACACACTGGTGCTGCTAGTTGTAACGATTTGGCACGTCCTGTCCACGTGACACTAAACCTCACTAATGGGTCGTGTCAGGTGGTGGCAGGTTCCACGACACAACGTTCAGATATTGACGGCCCAGACGTCTTGAGACGTTCCCCGGGCGTCTTGAGACGTTCCCCAGACGTATTGAGACACACCCCAGGCGTCTTGAGACGTTCCCCAGACGTATTGAGACACACCCCAGGCGTCTTGAGACGTTCCCCAGACGTCTTGAGACGTTCCCCAGGCGTCTTGAGACGTTCCCCAGACGTCTTGAGACACACCCCAGGCGTCTTGAGACACACACCAGACGTCTTGAGACGTTCCCCAGGCGTCTTGAGACACACCCCAGACGTCTTGAGACACACCCCAGGCGTCTTGAGACGTTCCCCAGGCGTCTTGAGACGTTCCCCAGAAGTCTTGAGACGTTCCCCAGACGTCTTGAGACGTTCCCCAGGCGTCTTGAGACGTTCCCCAGGCGTCTTGAGACACACCCCAGGCGTCTTGAGACGTTCCCCAGGCGTCTTGAGACGTTCCCCAGGCGTCTTGAGACGTTCCCCAGACGTCTTGAGACGTTCCCCAGGCGTCTTGAGACGTTCCCCAGGCGTCTTGAGACGTTCCCCAGGCGTCTTGAGACGTTCCCCAGACGTCTTGAGACACACCCCAGGCGTCTTGAGACACACCCCAGGCGTCTTGAGACGTTCCCCGGGCGTCTTGAGACGTTCCCCAGGCGTCTTGAGACACACCCCAGGCGTCTTGAGACACACCCCAGACGTCTTGAGACGTTCGCCAGACGTCTTGAGACACACCCCAGGCGTCTTAAGACACACCCCAGACGTCTTGAGACGTTCCCCAGGCGTCTTGAGACGTTCCCCAGACGTCTTGAGACGTTCCCCAGACGTCTTGAGACGTTCCCCAGGCGTCTCGACACACACCCCAGACGTCTTGAGACGTCTTGAGACGTTCCCCAGACGTCTTGAGACGTTCCCCAGACGTCTTGAGACGTTCCCCAGGCGTCTTGAGACACACCCCAGGCGTCTTGAGACGTCTTGAGACGTTCCCCAGACGTCTTGAGACGTTCCCCAGACGTCTTGAGACGTTCCCCAGACGTCTTGAGACACACCCCAGGCGTCTTGACACGTTCCCCAGGGGTCTTGAGACATACCCCAGGCGTCTTGAGACGTTCCCCAGGGGTCTTGAGACACACCCCAGACGTCTTGAGACACACCCCAGGCGTCTTGAGACGTTCCCCAGACGTCTTGAGACGTTCCCCAGGCGTCTTAAGACACACCCCAGACGTCTTGACACGTTCCCCAGGGGTCTTGAGACGTTCCCCAGGCGTCTTGAGACGTTCCCGAGGCGTCTTGAGACACACCCCAGGCGTCTTGAGACGTTCCCCAGGCGTCTTGAGACGTTCCTCAGGCGTCTTGAGACGTTCCCCAGGCGTCTTGAGACGTTCCCCAGAGGTCTTGAGACGTTCCCCAGGCGTCTTGAGACGTTCCCCAGACGTCTTGAGACGTTCCCCAGACGTCTTGAGACACACCCCAGGCGTCTTGAGACGTTCCCCAGACGTCTTGAGACGTTCCCCAGGCGTTTCAGGACACACCCCAGATGTCTTGAGACGTTCCCCAGACGTCTTGAGACGTTCCCCAGGCGTCTTGAGACGTCTTGAGACGTTCCCCAGGCGTCTTGAGACACACCCCAGGCGTCTTGAGACGTTCCCCAGGCGTCTTGAGACACACCCCAGACGTCTTGAGACGTTCCCCAGACGTCTTGAGACACACCCCAGACGTCTTGAGACGTTCCCCAGGCGTCTTGAGACGTTCCCCAGACGTCTTGAGACGTGGACGCTGCGTGGACGCTGTGTGCCTCCCCAAATCCTCGCCTCTCGCTCGTCCCCCCTCCCTCCCTCTCTCTCTCTCTCGCACTCCGTCTAACGATGCCGCTGCCTTTTTGCTCAGGGCAATGTCCTCTTTGGTGATGGGGCAATGTCCTCTTTGGTGATGGCGCAACCGGATTGCGTTTTTACGTTGAGGTGAGGTGTCAATGGGAGCGTTTCAACACCGCCACAGTGCTTGACAAATCTTTTGATTCCTCAATCGGCAAAAATAATTGTGTTTATTCGTTTGTATTATTAATTTATGTTTCTTAGATGTGCTGCGTCTGTCATGGAAGCGTTGATGATGTTGTTGATGATGATAGCCGACTTGAGAGCTTTTTAGCTCGCAGGGTACTCAAAATAAACTGAACCACCACCACCATCGTTATCAATCTATCACCACCACCAACACCATCACCACCATCATCATCATCATCCCTCTGACTATCACCACCATCACTACCACCACCGTCCCTCCGCCTATCACCACCATCACGACCATCATCATTATCCCTATTACCATCACCACCATCATCACCATCATCCCTATGACCATCACCACCATCATCACCATCATCCCTATGACCATCACCACCATCATCACCATCATCCCTATGACCATCACCACCATCACTACCACCATCATCATCATCCCTATGACAATAACCACCATCGACATCATCATCCCTATGACCATCATCACCATCACCATCATCCCTATGACAATCACCACCACCATCATCATCATCATCCCTATGACAATCACCACCACCATCACCACCATCCCTATGACAATCACCACCATCATCATCATCCCTATGACAATCACCATCACCATCATCCCTATGACAATCACCACCATCACTACCACCATCATCATCATCCCTATGACGATCACCACCACCACCATCACCATCATCCCTATGACAATCACCACCATCACCATCATCACTATGACAATCACCATCACCACCACCATCACCATCATCCCTATGACAATCACCATCACCATCATCATCATCCCTATGACAATCACCACCACCATCACCATCATCCCTATGACCATCACCACCACCGCAGCCACGACCACCACCACCACCGCCACCACCACTCACCCGGATGCCCGAGATATCCGCTCCCATCCTCAAACCCCTCCATCGCCGCCCAGTCCCCTCCTCCTCCTCCTCCTCCTCCGTCTTCCTCCGACCCTTCGTATCCTCCCCTGGCGACCAGCCAACCAGCGCCTCCTCCACCGGCGGCCCCGCAGCGCGAGCAGGTGGCCTCCCGCAGGACCCGCAGCTGCGTCTCCAGCGCCTGGTTCCGGCGTTCCAGCTCGTGCACCTTCACCAGGAAGCAGCGGAAGCGGATGTTGAGCACCTTCATGTGGTGGAGATCCGTGCTGAGCTCGCGCCCGAACACCAAGCCGGGCCCCGCTCGGACCCCGCCTCCGCCGCCTCCGCCGCCTCCCACTCCTCCTCCGCCTCCCACTCCTCCTCCTCCGCCTCCTCCTCCTCCTCCGCCTCCTCCTCCGCCTCCTCCTCCTCCTCCGACGAGGCCGCCGCTGCCGCTAAATCTGCCGCTGCCACCGTAGAGGCTCCCCAGCCTGGCCGCCACAGCGGCCGCCACGGCGTTGGACCTGGCGCGTCCCAGGCTCACGGCGGCCGCGGCAGCGGCGTGGACGTGGACGTGGCTGGGCGGCGCTCCCACGGCCGACGACGCTCCACCGCCTCCGCCTCCTCCGACTCCGCCTCCTCCGCCTCCTCCGACTCCGCCTCCTCCTCCGACTCCACCTCCTCCTCCGACTCCGCCTCCTCCTCCGACTCCGCCTCCTCCTCCGCCTCCTCCTCCTCCTCCGACGAGGCCGCCGCTGCCGCTAAATCTGCCACCACCGCCGTAGAGGCTCCCCAGCCTGGCCGCCACAGCGGCCGCCACGGCGTTGGACCTGGCGCGTCCCAGGCTCACGGCGGCCGCGGCAGCGGCGTGGACGTGGACGTGGCTGGGCGGCGCTCCCACGGCCGACGACGCTCCACCGCCTCCGCCTCCTCCGACTCCGCCTCCTCCGCCTCCTCCGACTCCGCCTCCTCCTCCGACTCCACCTCCTCCTCCGACTCCGCCTCCTCCTCCGACTCCGCCTCCTCCTCCGACTCCGCCTCCTCCTCCGACTCCGCCTCCTCCTCTGACTCCGCCTCCTCCTCCGACTCCGCCTCCTCCTCCGACTCCGCCTCCTCCTCCGACTCCGCCTCCTCCTCCGACTCCGCCTCCTCCTCCGACTCCGCCTCCTCCTCCGCCTCCTCCTCCGCCTCCTCCTCCGCCTCCTCCTCCGCAAGTCGACCCCGGACTGAACCTGGGGCCAGCGCTCAGGTCCAGCCCGGGGCTCGCGGATCCCAGGCCGGGACTCGACCTCAGAGGTCCGGGACTGGGCACGGGACTGGTGCTGAATAGTCCGGGACTAGGCACGGGACTGGTTCTGAATAGTCCGGGACTAGGCACGGGACTGGTTCTGAGTCCGAGACTCGGCACGGGACTGGTTCTGAGTCCGAGACTCGGCACGGGACTGGTTCTCAATAGTCCAGGACTAGGCATGGGACTGGTGCTGAATAGTCCAGGACTGGGCACGGGACTGGTTCTGAATAGTCCAGGACTAGGCATGGGACTGGTGCCGAATAGTCCAGGACTGGGCACGGGACTGGTGCTGAGTCCGAGACTCGGCACGGGACTGGTGCTGAATAGTCCAGGACTAGGCACGGGACTGGTTCTGAACAGTGCGGGACTGGGCACGGGACTGGTGCTGAATAGTCCAGGACTGGGCACGGGACTGGTTCTGAACAGTGCGGGACTGGGCACGGGACTGGTTCTGAGTCCGAGACTGGGCACGGGACTGGTTCTGAGTCCGGGACTTGGCCGGGGTCTCAGGAACGACCCTGGAACGGGACTCATGCCCGGAGCCTGTTCCGCTAGGCCCGGACTCAAGTTCCCACCAAGCTGTCCCAAGCCTCCTCCTCCTCCTCCTCTCTCTCCTCCTCCTCCTCTCTCTCCTCCTCCTCCTCCTCCATCTCTCTCCCCGTAGCAGTGGGCGAGGCGATGGCCGCCGCCGCTGCTGCCGTACGGGCTGCCCGGCGTCTCTCTGTCGGGAGCGGCCGGCCCAGCCCTGCCCAGGAGCAGCGAACTCCCAAGGCCGCACGTGGAGGAGGAGGAGGAGGAGTAGGAGGTGGTGGAGGAGGAGGAAGAGAAGGAGGAAGAGGAGGGCGAGGAGGAGGGGAAGAAGGAGTGGGAGGAGGAGTGCGAGGAGGGGAAGGAGAAGGGGCTGAGAGGAGGGCCCAATCCCGCCCGGCCAGGGCTGGCCGGTCTGTAGGCCTGCATCAGCGCAGCCCTGCTGCTTGAATACGGCTGCGGCTGCTGCGGCTGCGGCGGCTGCGGCTGCTGCGGCTGCTGCGGCTGCTGCGGCTGCTGCGGCTGCTGCGGCTGCTGCGGCTGCTGCGCCGGTGCCGGCGAGGTTTCCCGCGTCGTCGCCGGAGAGCCGGGGGTCCGACTCGGGGCCGGGACGCCGCCGCCGCTGCTGCTGTCGTGGGCCCGCAGGGCGTTCATGGCTGGCCCTACGTAAGGTGGCCAACCGCTGGGGGGGGGGGAAAAGCCTTGCCGCACCTCCCTTACCAAGATGGCTGACAGCGGTGCAGTAGGTCGGTGGAAGTGTTCCCCCTGCCAAGATGGCTGAGAGGTACAGTCGTCTGTTGGTGGAAGTCTTTCTCCTATCAAGATGGCTGATAGCGGTACGGTAGTCCGTTGGCGGAAGTCTTCCCCCTACCAAGATGGCTGAGAGGTACGGTAGTCCGTTGGCGGAAGTCTTCCCCCTACCAAGATGGCTGATAGCAGTACAGGAGTCAGTTGGTGGAAGTCTTCCCCCTACCAAGATGGCTGATAGCAGTACAGGAGTCAGTTGGTGGAAGTCTTCCCCCTACCAAGATGGCTGATAGCAGTACAGTAGCCTGCTGGTTGAAGTCTTCCCCCTACCAAGATGGCTGAGAGGTACAGTCGTCTGTTGGTGGAAGTCTTTCTCCTATCAAGATGGCTGATAGCGGTACGGTAGTCTGTTGGCGGAAGTCTTCCCCCTACCAAGATGGCTGATAGCAGTACAGGAGTCAGTTGGTGGAAGTCTTCCCCCTACCAAGATGGCTGATAGCAGTACAGTAGTCTGTTGGCGGAAGTCTTCCTCGTACCAAGATGGCCGACAGCGGTACAGTCGTCTGTTGGTGGAAGTCTTTCTCCTATCAAGATGGCTGATAGCGGTACGGTAGTCCGTTGGCGGAAGTCTTCCCCCTACCAAGATGGCTGATAGCAGTACAGGAGTCAGTTGGTGGAAGTCTTCCCCCTACCAAGATGGCTGATAGCAGTACAGTAGTCTGCTGGTTGAAGTCTTCCCCCTACCAAGATGGCTGAGAGGTACAGTAGTCTGTTGGTGGAAGTCTTCCCCCTACCAAGATGGCTGAGAGTTACAGTAGTCTGTTGGTGGAAGTCTTCCCCCTACCAAGATGGCTGATAGCAGTACAGGAGTCAGTTGGTGGAAGTCTTCCCCCTACCAAGATGGCTGATAGCAGTACAGGAGTCAGTTGGTGGAAGTCTTCCCCCTACCAAGATGGCTGATAGCAGTACAGGAGTCAGTTGGTGGAAGTCTTCCCCCTACCAAGATGGCTGATAGCAGTACAGTAGTCTGTTGGCGGAAGTCTTCCTCGTACCAAGATGGCCGACAGCGGTACAGTCGTCTGTTGGTGGAAGTCTTTCTCCAATCAAGATGGCTGATAGCGGTACAGTAGGTTGGTGGAAATCTTCCCCCCTACCAAGATGGCTGATAGCAGTACAGTAGGTTGGCAGAAATCTGTCCCCTACCAAGATGGCTGAGGTACAGTAGTCTGTTGGCGTCTTCCCGAGGTAAGATGGCTGCCTGCCGTCTGCGACACTGTACTTGGCACTGTACGAGCAACGTCGTTCCCTGCAAGAGATGGCGGGAAAACGCAAACACCGTCGTAGATTTAGCAGCGGCTCTCCCGTACCAAGATGGCTGTCAGTGTGAGTGTCTGTGTGGGGAGCGGTGGCACAGCGGTGACACCAGGCGGGTCTCCTCCCCTAGGTCGACTCAGCCTCAAGTACAGTACCTGGTGCCGTGGTGTGTGGTCAACATCGCCACTAGGGGAGACAAAGGTGGTCGGGGCGGGCGTGGTGCTGGACACCCACCCCCTCGTGTGTGTGACACAGTGCCGGTAGCCTTCATAGGCAGTGGGTGGGTGAGTGAATGGGTGGGTGAGTGAATGAATGGGTGGGTGAGTGAGTGAATGGGTGGGTGAGTGAATGGGTGAGTGAGTGAATGCATGGGTGGGTGGGTGAGTGAATGGGTGGGTGGGTGAGTGAATGGGTGAGTGAATGAATGGGTGAGTGAGTGAATGCATGGGTGGGTGGGTGAGTGAATGGGTGGGTGAGTGAATGAATGGGTGAGTGAATGAATGGGTGAGTGAGTGAATGCATGGGTGGGTGGGTGAGTGAATGGGTGGGTGGGTGAGTGAATGGGTGGGTGAGTGAGTGAATGGGTGGGTGAGTGAATGGGTGAGTGAGTGAGTGGGTGAGTGAATGGGTGAGTGAGTGAGTGAATGGGTGGGTGAGTCAATGGCCGAGTGAATGGTTGAGTGGGTGAGTGAATGGGTGAGTGAGTGAGTGAGTGAATGGGTGAGTGAGTGAATGGGTGGGTGAGTGAATGGGTGAGTGAGTGAGTGAATGGGTGGGTGAGTGAATGGGTGAGTGAGTGAATGCATGAGTGGGTGAGTGAATGGGTGAGTAGATCAGTGGGTGAGTGAATGGGTGGGTGAATGGGTGGGTGAATGGGTGGGTGAGTGAATAAGTGAGTAGATCAGTGGGTGAGTGAATGAGTGGGTGAGTGAGTGAGTGGGTGAGTGAATGAGTGGGTGAGTGAATGAGTGGGTAATGAGTGAGTGAATGACTGAGTGAATGAGTGAGTGAATGACTGAGTGAATGAGTGGGTGAGTGAATGAGTGGGTGAGTGAATGAGTGAGTGAATGACTGAGTGAATGAGTGAGTGAATGAGTGGGTGAGTGAATGGGTGAGTGAATGAGTGAGTGAGTGAATGAGTGAACCGGGTGACGTGAGTTGTGCAGGCCTTCATAGGCGCTGCTGCTGCTATTCGCTGCATCATCTACAATGGAGGTGCTTGGGCTAGATCGCGTGTTAAACTCGCTACATCATTGTGACTGCAGTCATTCATATCCCCTTTGGCCCTTTCGGTAAAGTCACGGGGACGGGTTCAAAGGACAAAAAAATAACAAATAAACTCCTTCCAACAAGATTTAGGGTTTTTTTTAAACAACGCTTTCATAAACAACTTCGTTTAAATTTCTAATTTTAAAGCTTCCGTGACTGCAGTGATTCATAATCTGAGCTCCTTCGGTAAAGTCACCACGTAGAAGGGAAACAATAAAATAATAAAATATATGTAAAACAATAAAATAATATATAAAAACAATAAAATAATATATAACAATAATATATAACAATAAAATAATAATATATATAACAATAAAATAATAATATATAAAACGATAAAATAATAAAATATATAACAATGATAAATATATAAAACAATAAAATAATATATATAAAACAATGAAATAATAAAATATATAAAACAGTAATATATAACAATAAAATAATAATATATATAACAATGATACATATATAACAACAAAATAATAAATATATAAAGCTATTACATGATAATATATAAAACAATAAAATAAAATATAAAACAATAAAATAATATATAACAATTATAAATATATATAAAACAATAATAAATATATAAAACAATAAAAAGAATATATAAAACAATAAAATAATAAAATATATATAACAATAAATATTTTACATATTTTATTATTTTATTCTTTTATATATTTAATTGTTATATATATTATTGTTTTATATATATTACTTTATTGTTTTATATATATTATTTTATTGTTTTATATATATTATTATTTTATTGTTTTATATATATTATTATTTTATTGTTTGATATATTTTATTGTTTTATATATTATTATTTTATTGTTTTATGTATATTATTTTATTGTTTTATATTTATTATTTTATTGTTTCATATATATTATTATTTTATTGTTTTATATATATTATTTTATTGCTTTATATATATTATTTTTTTATTGTTTTATATATATTATTTTAGTGTTTTATATATATTATTTTATTGTTTTATATTTATTATTTTATTGTTTTATATATTATTTTATTGTTTTATATATAATTATTTTATTGTTTTATATATTATTATTTTATTGTTTTATATATAATTATTTTATTGTTTTATATTCATTATTTTATTGTTTTATATTCATTATTTTATTGTTTTATATATTATTATTTTATTGTTTTAAATATATGTTATTATTTTATTGTTTTATATATTTTTATTTTATTGTTTTACATATCTTATTTTATTGTTTTATATATTTCATTATTTTATTGTTTCCCTTCAACGTGACTTTACCGAAAGCGCTAAGAATAATAACTTCGTTTAAATTTCTAATTTTAAAGCTTCCGTGACTGCAGTGATTCATATTCTTGGCTCTTTCGGTAAAGTCGCCACGTTGAAGGGAAACAATAAAATAATAAAAATATAAATCCGCCACCACTTTCAAATGTTTCCTGCCGTTGGTTTTTGCACACCTGATGACGACATCTTCTTTGGCTCTTTCGGTAAAGTCACCACGTAGAATGAGAACAATAAAAATAACAAATTAATAAAAAAATAACACAATAAAATTCTCACGACGTTTCGGCCGCAAAACACAAGCGGCCTTCATCAGGTGAAGGGACCGGACTGTCCAGAGGACAGTGTTGGAGCGACGGCGACCGTTTGCGTTGCGGTCGAAACGTCGCGAGAATTCTTATTGTTTCACACACACACACACGCGCGTACATATATATATAATTACCCTTGTATCGCTCGACCTTGAACGCGACTTTTAACCCGAAGAACCAAGAATATCGTAGAAATAACTCGCGGTGGACGAGCGCGTCAAATGGTGCGATCCCGAATTCACCGACCCCACTCCGTTGGAGCTTGTCGCTGACGGAGCGAGCGTGCCCGGGTCCAGCGCCTTCCCATTGAGCGAGACCGCCGCAAATCAATGGAGAGTTCCATTACACCTCCTTTTGGCAGGACCA